TCATGTACTTATCTAGCTTCTCCTTAAATGCATCTATGCTATTTGCCTCAACTACTCCTTGTGGTAGCAAGTTCGACATTCCCACCACTCTCTGGGTAAAGATGTTTCTTCTGACTTCCCTATTTGATTTGGTGACTATTTATATTTATGGTGCCTGGTTTTGGTCTCCCCCACAAGTGGAAATATCTTCTCTATGTCTACCCTATCAAACCCTTTCATAATTTTAAAGACCTCTATTAGGTCACCCCTCACCCTTCTCTTTTCAAGAGAAAAGAGTCCAAGCTTGTTCAGCCTTTTCCTGATAGGTATAACCTCTCAGTTCCTTGTCGGTAGGTCCAGAATTGAAACAAACAAATCACTGGTGGTTGCTCATGCAGTCTGGGTCCTTAATAATATAATAATAATAATCCTTGCATTTGATGTAGCACCTTATCACCTCGTTGAGACGTCTCAAAGCCCTTCAAATAATTTTTTGTAAAGTGGATTGACTATGTATTTTGTGGGCGAAATGCGGCAGCCAATTGAGCACAGCAGTGTCCCACAAACAGTCATGAATCGAGCAACCCAATCNTTTTTTTTGGAGGGATTATTACCTCTGCAAAGCGATCCGCCAATCAACCAGCTGGGTTCCAGCTGCAAGGTAAACAGAGGCGTGTGGTGTAAGGAAACTTGCCCAAGGTTTCGCACTGCCTGGGAATTGAACAATTACGGGGCATTAATGATTAAATTAATGAGATTTAATGTGATACTTTATCTGCAGAATTACTATTACTTTAACATAGCCACCGGGAGCAGGAACACTGGTTGCCCCCTCCCAAACCCAGACATTGAACCAAAGTGCAACATTAACCAAGATCAGCCAAGATTTGAACCTGCCACCTTCTGGTCTATATGGGGTATTGCTGAACCTGGACCTTTACCCACTAAGCTACCGTGCTAGCATAAATCCCAATGGAAAGTTCAATTGGACAGATCTGGAATAATAATCCAACAATTTTTTATTTTCGTTCTTTATCATCTTAGCAGATGTTAAAGTTGAAACACTTTTCCCGTGTTGTATTTGTTTTAGTGGAAATGAATGTCCCTCAACCCTGCTGTTTAAAATAGTTTTGCGTTTATTACATCTAGGTTCGACTGCAGCAACTCCCTGCTTGTCGGCCTTCCCAACTCTTCCGTCCACGAGCTGCAGATCATCCACAACTCTACAGCTTGGGTCCTCTCCCCCACCAGGCTCCATGACCCTGTCACCCCCACCCTCTCCCAGCTTCACTGGCTCCTCATCCCCAGAGGATAGAGTTCAAAATCCTTGTCCTTGCCTTCAAGGCCCTCCACGGCCTTGCTCCTTCCTATCTCTGTGACCTGTTAAAGTTAAAAAAAAATTTAGCCACCCTCCTATCCAGACCCTCCCTGCCCTCCAATCCTCCTGATCCCAAACTCCTGCTCGAGTCCAAATCCCTGACTGTCCAGCATCTTGGGGCATCCTCCCGATGTGAGAGGCACTATACAAACGTAATTTGTTGATATTTGTTGTTATCTTGAACGAATGCAAAATAAAATAACATTGCAAAAATAGTATTCAAATAGCCGCAGCTATTATTTCTGATTGGGAATAGCAGGCTGCCGTTATTAGCCCTGAAAATCTCAGTTGATTTCACAATAATGAGTCCACAGGAGCAAAACTAAGCCGAATCAAATGTTGCTGGTCACAGCTGGAATGGTTGCCAAATTGTTCGCTCATTAAGTATATCCTTTGTAAATCAGTATAGAAACACAATGATGCATTGCTGACAAAGGCAGATCATTTCACTGGTCAAATAAATTATTTGGCTGTAAAAAGGCAAGGCATTTCTAATTGAGCTTGTGATCAGCTCCAACTCTAACCAATACCAAATGTAAATGACAGAACTAAGTTTTCAAAGTGTTATGGGAAATCCACACTTTACAGTGAATCCTATGAAGCGCTTTGAGATTTCCTCCTGACGTGAAAGAACTGTACCGAATGCAAGGATGATATATGATCATAACATACATGTGAACAGTTTTGCAGATTTGCCCAAATCACTGGACTTTTAGCTATTTGACGGTGGACTGACATTCCTTTCAATTCAGTATGAAAATACAGTGTAAGTTCAGCAATTTTCAGTTAGCAATATTTGGGATAAAATTCCACCTGAATCTAGATTTGTCTGCGGGTTCAGGTGGACATTACAGATTCTCATGACACTATTCAAAAAGAGAAGGGAGTTTTTCCCAGTGTACTGGCCAACAATTCCGCTAAAGAGATTCACTTCATGGCTATTTGAGGGAAATTGCTGCGTACAACTTGGCTGTGCGTTCTTTTACAAAATTCAGTCACTAACCTCGCTGTACAGTAAATTCCATGAAGAATTTTGAGATGTCCTCCAATATGAAAGGCACTTCTATTGTACTAAGAACGATGTCCTATGATACTTAAGCTGCATTCACAAATGTACCTTTGCAGGAGACCAAGGCAATTGAAGCCACGAAAGGCAAAAGCAAGTGGCAGGCCAATGATGGTACTGAGTGAATAATGTACATCTCTGCATGCAGTAGTTTGTCCCCCCAGCTAAAGAGAAGAAATATGAACAGATACTTTTTCATTGATTGTTGAGCTAGGTTATTCTATTTAATGCCTAAATTTGTCTACCAACACAGTCACTACACTCTGCTCTAAATCCTGTGAATCGCTTTGAGACACTTTGACGATATAATAAGGTGCTATGACAAATGCATGTATCATCATTATAATAACTAATATGAGGTGTGGTGAATCTCCTTTAAGATTTTTCATGTTTTTATTTGAAATGCGGCTCTTGTGGTAAATGAAACAGGAAAGATTAAAAGCTACAATAATTATTACCATTGTTTTTCTAAGTTTGTAAAGGAAACAGAAACACTTAAAGAGGCTACCGGTAAGCAAAACAACCACAACAACTTGCATTAAATAGCACCCAGTTAAATAACAACAACGTACATTATATAGCACCCAATAACACTTGCATTAAATATGCAGAGTAACATCTCGGCGTGCTTGCAACTCACATTGAACCAGAACAAGGACACATGCAACTCAAGACTGAACCAGCCTCAATTTCCACAGGAAAGAAACAAAGCTTGTCATCCGCTCAATGGCCCACCTCTAACTTTCTTCTCAATAGAAAGACCTCTCTAAGCTGGTATAAACACAGAAGTTGCTGGGAACACACAGCAGGTTAGGCAGCATTCATAGAGAAAGGAAAATGAGTTAACATTTCAGGTCAATGACTTTTCGTCAAAACATTTCAGGTCATTGACCTGAGACTTTGGCTAATTTTTCTCTCTCCATGGATGCTGTTCCCAGGGACTTCTGTGTTTATACCAGGTTTCCAGCATCTGCATTACTTTGCCTTTTGACCTTTCTAAGCGGTTCCTTCTGAATACTGAAATTAACACTATCTTTATTCAACATTATCAGACCTGATTATTCTCTACTTGACTGAAGTGGACTTGATGGCTAAAGCTCTCACTGACTTCTCTAAAGCAATTCACAAGATTGCAGGAGGTTTCGATGAAGGAAGCTCTTTGTCCTATTTGACATAATTCTTGTAAGATATCAATGCTATCCCATGACAACATTGTTCTCTTCTTAAATGAATCCAATATGCACTTCAAGGTCACTCCGTGTTATAAAAATGTGAACCTTGAATTTCCAGGATTAGATCTAAAACCACAAGCCATCAAAACTCCTAGCTCCCATCACTTGAGGATCCCAGGAAAACTGGTTATGAAACTCCAGCTGTATCCATTGGAGATGATGTCACAACTGAAAAGGCTTTTGATTTGGGTTTATTGCCTTGGTGAAATTAGATATGCACTTGGTGGTGAAATCAATAATAATAATAATCCTTGCATTTGATATAGCGCTTTATCACGTCATTGAGACGTCTCATAGCTCTTTGCATGATATACCGTGAAGTGGATTGATTGTGTTTTGTGAGTGAAAAACAGTAGTCAGTTTTGAGCACAACAATGGCCCGCAGACATCCATGGAGTGAGTGACTGATTTTATTTGGGCCAGAACACCAAGAGAACCTCCCTGCTCTTTTCAAATAGTGCCACGGGATCTTTAATGTTCACCTGAACAGGCAGATGGTTTCATTCAAAGGACAGCACCTCCAACAATGAAACACACCCCAGCACTGCATTGGAGTGTCAGTTTAGACTATGTGTTTCCAAGTCCCAGTGTGGGGCTTAAACCCACAACCTTTTAACCCAGAGGCGAGAGTGCTACCACTGTGCCAATGAGAGGGGAATGAAAGATAGAGCATTGCTGTATTTTGTGTAATCTTGGAACCAAGCTGCAATTGTCTCTTCTCTACAGTCTTACATTCCCATCATTTAAACCACCATTAAAATAGTACATTTTCTAGTTTAGCTTTACGTGATTAGCAGTCAACACACTGACAGCTCCTGAGCAGTGTTTCATTGCAAACTGACTATATTTTTGTTCAGTTTTAATTTGGGGGATTTATTATTGCATATCTAGAATTTGACAGGCACTTCAGAATATTTGATATTTTCTGTACATCTCGATGCATCTTATAAATACACATTGTGCAAAATATGATCCACAAAGGCTTTTTTAAAACATAGTAAATGATTGACATCTACTAAAAGCATTCCCGATAAAAATTACAATCACAATGCTGTATCCGAACAAAATATAAGAAATATTTAACTGAACGGTGTTGAGTACTAAATTTTTATTCGTGCATTCAACCTCACAAGCATTTAAACATAATTCCATATGACAAAGAGCAGGACTTGTTTAATACCGAACTATTATTTTGGGAACAAAGGAAGTAAAGCCTAGATTTCGCTGATATGCAAATATGGGTCATTAAAATAACAAAGCTTCAGATTACTGCGCACAATCTGGTTTGATATATAAACTGACACTACTCTGATGTTGTGTTCATCAAAGCAGTTGAAAATTAAAAATGGGAAAGGTAAGTGAAGCAACTACTGTGAATTTCAGAAGGAATTTCATTTGTGCACACCAGCCTTCTTATCCAATTCTTGCTCTCTCTGTCGCAGATCATCTTTTTCGAGGACAAGAACTTCCAGGGTCAGTGCTACGAGTGCAGCACTGACTGCTCAGACCTTCACACTTTCTTTGCCCGCTGCAATTCCATCCGGGTGGAAGGTGGCAGCTGGGTGCTTTACGAGAAAACAAATTTTACAGGATACCAGTACATTCTGACCAGGGGCGAATATCCCGACTTTCAGCACTGGAACGGCTATAATGACAGCATCAAGTCATGTCGTCAGATTCGTCACGTAAGTAACAGTATAATAATAATAATCCTTGCATTTGATACAGTGCCTTATCATGTTGTTAAGACGTCTCAAAGCACTTATATTGTAAGCAACATAATGTGAAGTGGATTGACTGTGTATTTTGTGGGAGCAACCTGCAATGTGTTGCGCTGTTGAAATGCCTTAAATGACTAAAAGCACTGTGAGTGACACTGTTGGTTTTACAAGAAGGCACACCCTGCAAATTTAAACGTTCTGTTTAAACTCAGCAAAGTAATTAGTGGCCGACCTGTAAATATTGCTTGCAGCTTCCCTTCAATTTCTGTTACTGAATGTAATTAACACCGGGGTGAAAAATGTGACATTCCATAGGAAGTTTTATGTGAAAATTGCATTGAATCTGTCATGGAAAGTCACATTTTCCACCACATACTGTATTATACACATATTATAGACTATATTATAGACACTGACAGTTTTAGGGAATATTTTCAAGATTCAACTCTGAACACTGGCACTCGCTGATAGTAATGAAGTGTTTCATCTTTGCTTAGTTTATGCTATCCATTGAGGTTATCTTCTTATCAAGCCAGGGGTCTATTATTCTCCTGTCTTCTAATTCCTAGTGCTGCTTGTCATTGTGTTAAACTGTCCCTCTACTATTTTCTAATCAATTATTCAAAGCTTATTTTTTCAAATTTTTAAACTCTGAATAATAATTTAAGGAGGTTATGTAGAAACACTGATTTCTGCTGTTCATGGGTTACCTGACATCCAATGGAAATCAAACAGCTTCCTTGCGACGCTAAATCTGTCAACTTCCCTTAACATTCTTTGCAAGCCAATGAATAATTTCTACTTGTTACGACTTGTATAAATCCAAAAAAGCATAGAAAGTCACTTTCTTCATCCATATATCAAAATCTAATGCAATTTCTTCTGCAACAACATATTTTTGTAGCACCTTTCATATAAAACAAACATCTCAAAGGCATTCCTACATTCTTTTGACTCAATAAACTTAATAATTTAATAAGAAATAATGATATAATAGTAATAATCCTTGCATTTGATAATAGCACCTTATCAGGTCATTAAGACGTCTTGAATATATTGTAAAGTGGATTGACTGTATTTTGTGGGCGACACACAGCAGCCAATTGCATACAGCAATGTTCCATAAATATCGTGGATTGAGTGACCAATTTTTGAGGCATTATTATCCCCTGAAAGCAATCCACCAATCAACGAACAAATGGGTTCCTGCTTACTACCAGGTAAACAGAAGCATCTGGGGTAAGGAAACTTGCCTAAGGTTTCGCCCTGCCTGGGAATCGAACCTGGGTGCTCATGCTTGCGAGGCGTGTGTGCTAACCACTACGCTACGGGACTTTGAATGATTATTATTATTAATAAGAAATGCTGCTTAATGGTATTTGCTGACACCAAGGCTAAAACACTCAATGCTATTAGTGCTCTGAGCAGCAAGTAAGAGATTCTGAACTCTTCTCTGCGACAGGAGTGCAAACACAGCATAATTGCTTTAAGCATATTGCATCTCAATTGATTTCTCCTGAAGTTGGTAACACAGTTTCCCAGTTACGTTATTGTTAAATTACTAACCATCAGCCTTCCCATTTCTCAATGTCTTAGGCCACTGGCGGTAAATACAAAATTAGAGTCTACGAAAGAACTGACTTCAGTGGACAGATGATGGAATTCTCTGATGACTGCCCATCAATCCACGATCGCTTCCCCTCCCATGAGATCCACTCCTGCCAAGTGCTGGAAGGTGCCTGGATCTTCTTTGAGCATGCCAACTACAGAGGAAGACAGTACCTGCTTGAGAAAGGAGAATACAAGCGATACAGTGACTGGGGTGCAAGCTTCCCAACTGTTGGCTCTTGCCGTCGTGTTACAGAATTCTAAGGGGTTACAATGTGTGACTTTTTTCCGTAGCATTTTGTTTTCAAATTGAAATAAAGTTTGAAGAAGCAGCACTTCAGACTCTTTGTCTGTTCTGTTAGCAGGAAGAACATTAAGGCACTGGAAAGGGTGCAGAGGAAATTCACAAGAATAATACCAGGAATGGGGATCTTTAACTATGAGGACAGGCTGGAGAAGTTAGGACTTTTCCCATTAGAGCAGAGAAGGTTACGCGGGGACCTGATAGAGGTCTCCAAGATCATGAAAGGTTTCGACAGGCTAGATAAGGAAAAGCTGTTTCCGCTGGTAGGTGTGTCTGTGACCCGTGGTCACAGTCTTAAGATATCTACCAAAAGAAGCAGAGGGGAGGTTAGAAGACTTTTTTTCACTCAGCGAGTTGTTCAAATTTGGAATGATCTGCCTGAAAGGGTAGTGAAGTCCGATTCGATAACTGCTTTTACGAGAGAACTGGATAGGTATCTGGGGAAGACGGGTTTGCAGGGTTATGGGGAGAAAGCTGGTGATTGGGGTTAGTGAAAGTGACTTGCTCTGTCAAAGAGCCGGCACAGACTCGATGGGCCGAATGGCCTCCTTCTGTGCCGTAACATTCCATGAATCTATGAATCTATAAACATCTTAATTTGGGGTTTCGGAGTGACACACTTGGCAAGAAACACGAGTGAACTTTTCCTGCTTTGCCTCGGTATAAAATCGAAAGACATAAACTGGACAGAAGTGTTAAGTCTTTTTAAAGCATGTCTGTTTGAACAAAAAAGGAATAAACAAAAGCATCGCTAAATAATTTTGATAAAATCCACACTACAGAACAAGGCATTTCAACTAATGAAGTGAAACAAATCCAATCTGTGGATGCATTGCTGAGCAAATTATTATTAATTGTAATATTTAATAATAATAATCCTTACACTTGATAGTGCCTTATAACATCGTCGAAACGTCTCAAAGCTCTTCACAGGATTAACCGTAAAGTGTTGTTTGTTAAGTGTAAAGTGCATATGTATTTCTCTTCAACCGTGCCTTCACCTCCCCTCTCGACTCTCTACCCACTCCTCGCTCCCTCGCTTCCCTCCCCTCCCCTCACGCTGACCATTTCCTCCCTGCTCGGGTCCCGACCCAACTGTCCAGCACCTTGGGACGTCCTCCCGACGTAAAAGGTGCTCTATAAATGCAATCTTGTTGTTGTTGTTGTAGATGAACTTGGTAGCCAATTTCGCCCACAGCAATGTCCCCACACCCAGCCATGAAACGAATAACCAAATTATAAGTGAGATTTTAAAGTTGCCCAATAAGTGAAAAAAAACTGCATGAAAGATTTTTCAAACATATATATAAAGATATTGTATATATTTCTGGACATTGTCTTGCCACCAAATTGTGAGATGAACTGAGAGCCGATTAATTCTCTCCTTGGGTTTCCTTAAAGTACCTTGCTCTATAATATCATCGAATGATATAAATTTACTGTGCAAAGGGAGCCCATTGGCCTATTGGGTCTGCATCCGCCTACCTTATCCCTATACCCTTTCAGGTGTCTGTCTTTGATAATAGAAAACAATTTCCAATTTATATAACAACTTTCACGTCACAAGGACATCTCAAAGAGCTTAAAATGCTTCATATAACTGTCCTCTACCATCTTTAAACCCGCAATGGACTCTTTCTCTACCATTTTTCTTCTCAGGGTGTTTCACATCCTAACAACTCTCTGAGCGAAAGAAATGCTCCAAAGCTTTTCTGAAGAAATGATTTACAGAAAAAAGATACTGCTGTAAAAAAATCATTGTCAAAGATTGTATCACCATCCTCTTTATTCTGGTATTCAGCCCTTAAGATGTACTCGAAACATTTAAAAAACAAAGATGTAAATTAACTGGAGCACGGTTACCTATCTGCAAACAAACTTTTGAAGCAGTTGTTCTATTACTGAATGGCTGGAAACGCTTTTTAGAAGAAGATGTAGTTTTAGCTTTCATAGCCAAGGGCTGTTAATTCAAGCTGTGACTGAATAGAAAACAACCAAGATCCCTGTTTGAAAAGCCCTGGAATTTCAATAATTCTTTTATCTTCAAAGATCAGGGCATGAGGTCTGTGAAGCATGAGCTGGAATCACAAAATTCTGCGACCTACATTCAGACGGCTTTTATAATGCTGTAAATTGTTCTTAATATAACTTGCACATGTCCTAATGTAAATCTGTGCTTCTATCAATTTCAAAGATGTCCTACGAGGTTCTGCATCCTTTGAATGTCCGTTATTATGCACATATTCGGGAAAATAATAATACATTTGATTTTGTCCCTTTCACAATGGGAGGACATCTTAAAGCGCTTCACAGGATACAATGTAAAGTGTAGTGACTGTATATTTGTTGGCGAATGCAGGAGTCAATTTGCACACAACAACGTCCCACAAATAGCCATGAAGTGAATGACCAATTTTATTGGGAGATTGTCGACCAGGAAACAGGGAGAAACTCACTATTCTTTTTCACCGAGTGTGATGGAACCTTTAATGTTCACCTGAACAGGCAGATTAATTTGTTTCCTAATAGACATGGTAAATGACAAATGCATTATGAAACATCACATTTTGCATTCTTAAGTTGAAACAAGGCTGGTTTAAAGATAACAACAACAACAACAATTACAAAATTACATTTACATAGCACCTTTCACTTCGGGAGGACGTCCCAAAGCTCTGGACAGACAGAGTAAATCCATTCCCACCTTCCTCTTTCCCCTATTCTCCCAACCCCTATTGAGCTATTTTTAGTTTTACTGTAAAGTGCAATGACTGTATTTAACAACAACAATAAAATTACATTTGTAAAGCGCCTTTCATGTCGGGAGGACATCCCAAGGTGGTGGACAGACAGAGTTACGGACCTGAGCTGGGGATCGGGGTCGGGGAAAGTGGGCTGCAGGGGGGTAAGCAGGGAGATCGAAAGCACGGTTGAAAAGGAGGGTTTTGAGATGGGTCTTGAAGCTGGCAAGGGAGGGGGCGAGACGGAGGGACTACAGATGGAGTTCCAGAGGGTGGGGGCAGAGTAGCGGAAGGCCCACGCACCAATAGTGGGGCTGGAGCCCGCTGAGCGGAAGGAGCGAACAGGATGGTAGGGGGTTAGGAGGTCACAGAGGTAGGTGGGAGCAAGACCGTGGAGGGCTTTGTAGGTGAGGACCAGGATCTTGAACTGTATCCTCTGTGTGATGGGAAGCCAGTGGAGTTGGGCAAGGATGGGGGTGATAGGGTCGCGGAGTCTAGTGCGGAAGAAGACACAGGCTGCAGTTCTGGATGATCTGCAGCCTGTGGAGGGAGGAGTTGGGGAGGCCGACAAGCAGTGAGTTTGCATAGTCGAGCCTTGATGTAATGAAGGTGTGTATGAGGGTTTTGGTGGCCTGTGGTGTGAGACAGTGGCAGAGCAGCGCGACGTTGAGGAGGTGGGGGAAGGCAGAGCGGGCCATGGCGTAGATGTGGGGTAAAAAGGATAGTTGAGGGTCAAACAAGACCCCAAGATTCCGGATTGGCTTATCAAGGTGGAGTGTGCAACCATGGATGGTGATGCTGTCAGCGCCTGAGGTGAGGAGGCGCTGACAAGAGCCAATCAAGAGAACCTCAGTCTTGTTGACGTTCAATTGAAGAAAGTTAGCTCTCATCCAGCACTTGATGTCTGACAGACATTCTGTCTGGACAGCAGTGGTCCTGGAGTCAGTTGTGGAGGCAGAGAGGAACAGTTCGGTGTCAACCGCATACATGTGGAAGTCTGTGGATGATGTCACCAATAGGGAGCACATAGATATTGAAGAGGAGGGCACCAAGGACAGAGCCCTGAGAAACACCACACGAGATGGTGCGGGGGATAGAGGAGAAGCCGTTTGTGAAGATGAAGTGCAGGCGGTGTGAGAGGTACGATCTGAACCAGTCAAGGACAGAGCCGTGGAGGTTGAGGTGAGAGGAGAGGCGGTGGATGAACAGGCGAACATGGCAGCCAACTTGGACACAGCAACGTCCCACAAGCAGCCATGAAATGAATGAACAATTTTACCCGGGGGATTGTTGGCTGGGACACAGGGAGAAATTCCCTTCTCCTTTTGAATGTGTTGCACTAGGAGCAGAGTATAGGCAGTGGCGGCCGGAACAGCTGGCCCAGCTGTGCGTACAAGACTATTTAAATATTAACATGAAACTTGAGGCAGCTTCCAGTAAAGCTCAGCACTAACAGGGAGCTACCCTGGGGGTGTAATCAGTATCAATGAGCTTCAGTGACCAATTGAAACGATAAAAACTCACAAGGCACAGACAGCAATATTCTGCCTTCAGAACTGTTTCCATTAGTGTGAGAAATGTATTGCACTGATGTGTTGCCAGCTGGTGACTGGAATATAAACAGGAATCAGTCACGCTGGAATATAAATGCCTGCTGAGTAATTAACAATGAAACGCTGTAGGCTTTAATCATGTTTAGAGGCCAATTACTGGAGGTAAAGTGAGTGCAGAAATGAAAAGGTGCCTTAATTGCATCCTGGGGCCTGAATTCGCGCGGTCTTAGCTTTACTACTGTAAAATTTAGGATTGTGCAGCACTTTGGAAAGTGCTTTCCTACTGATAATTAAGAACATTCCAAATGAAGAGATGAACTAGTGAGCTGGAAGAGCAAGCTCAGCTTCAGACAGGCAGAACTGTTTGGGAGCTGTGTATAAAGGAATATGTATTTGCCCTGAAACTCAGAAGCCTCAGCCTCTGCAGCAGGAGATTAAATAGAAACTCCCCAGTGCTTCTCAAGAAGTATACTAGTGCTCTGCAATGTTATGCAATGTGTTAAACTCTAGCAGTTAATCCCATTGCACATTCTGATGTCCTCAAGCCTTGGCTATTGCCAACCTGCACCTAAATGCTCCAGGATTAATATTATTATCTTTGCATTTGATATGGAGTCAGGAGGACATCTCACATGATGTACAGTACAACAGTAACATGTAGTGACTACGTATTTTCAAGGCGATTAATGAAGCAGGCTGATCTTTTTTGAGGAGAGTGTGTACACCATAAGATCGCAAAATTAATTTCAAGATTAGCTTTTCCTTCTGGACCACCCATCCTACCCGTCCCCCTTGACAGCATTAAACTGTTTTTTAAATGGTCTCAACCACTGTTCCCAGCAACCTGTTCCAATGGTTGATTATCCTCTGAGTAGAGAAAAACTGATCCAGAGGCGAGAGCTGTAACAACATAGAATCTTACTCGTGTTGTTACATTGGTTTTATGGTAAATAATCCAAAAATAAAAGCAAGGAAGCGGCGTAGGACAGATTGAGGGCAAATGACATGGAAAATAACTCGGAAGTTTGCAGCACAAGGGAAGGCTATTTGACCCTGCATGTCTCACTTTAAAAGGGGAATTAAGTAAGGGTAAGGAGGACTGAGAGATATTAAAAGAACAGTGAGAAACAAACATCAGCACTGGGTTGAATGATCTCAAACTGTGTTGCAAGTGTTTTATTGTTCTATAACTGTTCTCATCTCTAACAAAATGATTTTAGTACTTGCTTAAAACAAACTAAGCTGTTTTCATATATTGTAAATAACCCAGAAACACAGTGCCACATGTTATTAATAATAATAACGATAATAATAGTCCTTACATTTTATATACAACAAATTACATTTGAATAGCGCCTTTCAGGTCGGGAGGATGTCCCAAAGCGCTTCACAGAGTGGAGTGACTGTGTATTCAGTGGGGTATCGTAACAGCCAATTTGCATTAGGCAATGTTTCACAAACAGCCACAAAATGAACTTTAATGATACAAGGTGAGGTGTTAATGTAATATTTATGCATATTCAAGAAGGACACATCAATGCGACTATGAGAAACCTGAATAAATTTCATCATTCACACTCTACATTTGTAGACGTGTCTGTTTCCTTATCAAGGATCTCATATGTCCCTATGAACAAAGGTGGTCAAATTCCAGTCTTGAAAAGGAATGAACTTAGAGCTTTTACAACAAAAGATAGACTGTGTCATGAACAATTTTGCTTACACATAGGGTCCAAGGTCACTTCACTAACAATGTATTTTACTACTTTGCTCTTTTGGAGAGACATATAAATAACCAGACCCCATTGACTCTCATCACAAGCAACCGACTCGCTTGGACTACCATGGGACGGGTAAGAAACATATTCAGAAAACCATTCTGCTATTTTAATGATAGTATATAAATGTTATATGAAGTCTATCTCTACAGATCATCTTTTACGAGGACAGGAACTTCCAGGGACGGCACTATGAGTGCAGCACTGACTGTGAGGACCTGCAGTCTTACTTCAGCCGTTGTAACTCCATCCGCGTTGAGAGTGACTATTGGGTTCTGTACGAGAGACCCAATTACATGGGATACCAGTACGTTCTGAACAGGGGAGAGTATCCTGAGTATCAGCGCTGGTTGGGCTACAATGACAACATCAGATCATGCCGTGGATACAGCTATGTAAGTTACTTGTTGACGAATAATTTCACATTTTATAGGATCAAAGGGTGCTGCTAAAATAATAGCAAATTCAGCTTTTAAGAAAGTGGAAGCAATTATGTAGTTGCACTGAGCCTGTACCAATCCAAATCTAATTACACACTAATTTGTTGCAACTGGTATAGTTCCACAGTCCCATTACAGAACATCCTTTGCTCAAAATATTCTTCGGTAAATGCAAACATTAATATTTTATAGCTTTTCTTTTAAAAAATCCAATAATACACTATAATTCTCACTGAATAAACTGTGGAAAACTGCACTGATTTTATCATTATCTACACAGTTTACGAAAGACTTGTGAGCCTGCAAATTATTGGATCTTCCTCATGAGTCCATTAAAATTGCATCGCACTCTTTCCATCTGTATCTTTAAATATTTGGACCAAGTGATTAGGGACCATTGAGAATGAAACATGCTCTCAAAAGCATAACTTAGTGAAATCATTTGCAAGCTTGTGGCCCGGTTTACATCTGAGAAGGAAAGTAGTTGACTGTGTTATTGAAGTTCATTCTTTGCAGGCTGTCTTTCATGTGCTTCAAATGGGGCGTGTCATTCAAAAATGTCATTCTTCATACATTCTAGATGCCCAGCAGATCCTACAGAATGAGGGTGTACGAGAGATCTGACTTTGGAGGACAGATGATGGAATTTACGGATGACTGCTCATCCGTCTACGACTGTTTCCATTACCGTGACATCCACTCCTGCAACGTGATGGACGGCTACTGGATCTTCTATGAATATCCCAACTACATGGGAAGACAGTACTTCCTGAGACCCAATGAATACCGAGGATTCAGCGACTGGGGTGCGAGTTATCCTGCAATTGGCTCCTTCCGTCGCATTATGGATTACTGAATACTTCCGTGCATAACTTAATTTGCTCAAGTGAAACTTACATAAATGAATGAGATTTAAAAAACGAATAGTTTGACTGGTGGTGTCTTTTCAAATTAATCTTGTATCCATTTTATTATAAACATTGGGGCTTAAAGGATAATCACAGCGCACAGCATAACATTAAGAATGATGCTTTCCCTGAAAGCCTTTTCATTGAACAATTTCAGGCTGAAGTTAATGTAAGTAATCCCACTTTAAAGAGCAGGGTCTTTAAATAGTGGGTCAAATAAATGCACTAAACAGTAACTCACAGAGAATGGGCAGCAGATTGCTCATTAAATTACAGTTCTCAACTTTTCCACAAACAGTTGCAGAGTGGTTTATATCCAGTCATATGCATCATTTTTCTGAAGCTTATTTAAATCCACAAATGAAGCTTGGGCTAGATATTATATATACCTATATTGTATAGGTTTACCTATTTAGACTCTTTGTGGGCTGCTGCTGTGTGCAATTGGCTGTTGCGTTTCGCCCATTATATACAATCAATTCAATATATTCTGTGAAGCGCTTTGAGACATCTCAATGATGTAATAAGGTGCCATATCAAATGCAAAGATTAATATTATTATATGTATGTATTATATCCCGTGTAGTTGGTCTTGAGTTAATGAAGGTTTTGCCTACCAAATTCACAATCATTACACTCACAGTAAATCCTATGAAGGGATTTGGGATGTCCTCCTGACGTGAAAGGCACTATTCCAAATGTAAGAATTAGTTTTTATTGTTTTACTCAGACAGCAGTTCTGATGAGGTCCAGTGTTAGCAAGTTGAGTGAGCAGTATAGATTCTTGGTGCTGATAACTTGGGTATCTGAGAGAACAAACAGCCTTTGCTGGATCTCTTCAATTTCAAAGAATGACGGGCAATAATTCCAGTAACTGGAAGTACGTCCCAATGATCAGCAGGAACTTCATCCTCTATTTCTGGAGCTGAGTTTCTAGTCTTAACGGGAATGGCAAGAGGATTTGTTCGAAATCCAGTTAATCAGAATCATCTCCTCCAACCTTCACTGCGAGGAGATGCTGGATTTCCTTGAATCCAAAATCAAGGGAATCCGCTCCGCGGTCACTGCCCCTCCAACTTCCACCCACCCCCCCCCCCACCCCTTCTCTCCCACACTCCGACTCCTACCCATCCTCCCCTATACACCTTCGAACCCGTTTCCCCACCCTCTGTCACCAATCTCATTCGGTCCTTGAAACTCACCACACACTCCCTGGACCCCATCCCCACTCCACTCCTTACCTCCCAGTTCCACCTCCTTGCCCCACTTCTCACCGACACCATTAACCTGTCCTTCTCCTCTGGCTCTGTTCCCATTCCCCTCAAAACTGCCACCATCACTCCCATACTGAAAAAACCCTCCCTTGATGTGTCGCAGCTATCAAGCCACTGACCCATCTCCAACCTACCCTTCCTGTCCAAGGTTCTGGAAAGAGTCGTCGCCTCCCAGCTGCGCTCTTTCCTCTCCACCCATTCACTTTTTGAACCCCTCCAGTCGGGTTTCCGTGCTGCCCATAGCACAGAAACCGCTCTGGTCAAGGTTACTAATGACATCTTGACCATCTGCGACCAGGGCTCCCTCTGCCTCCTCATCCTCCTCGACCTATCGGCCGCATTCGATACGGTCGACCACTCTATCCTCCTCCACCGCTTGTCCTCCCACCTCAACCTTCAAGGCCCTGTCCTTGAGTGGTTTAGGTCATACCTCTCCCACCGTCTTCATTTTGTCTCCGCTACGGCTTTTCCTCCAGCCCCCGCACTGTCTCGTGCGGCATCCTTCAGGGCTGTGTCCTCGGTCCCCTCCTCTTCACCCTCTATATGCTGGGCAGGGCAGGGCAAGGAAGACAAAGGAGAAAATGGGATAGAGGAGGTGTTAATGATGCAAAAAAAGGGGTGGGGAGTTGCAACAAAACTGGGGAATAGAGGTGTTAATAATGCAAAAATTATTCACTTTATAAATATGCTTCAAAATGCTCAATTCAATAAATAAATATTGGTCACTCAATCCTGGACTGTTTCTTAGGAAACTACTGTGCATAATTGTCTGCTGCGTTTCGCCCACAAAGTATAGTCAATTCACTTTACAATACATTCTGTGAAGCAGTTTGAGATATAATTATGTGCTATATCAAATGCAAGGATTATTAATTAATTTTTTTACCTGATGAGTAAACACAGATACAACAAAAGGAAATAGAGCTAACCTCAGAAAGCTGAATAATTTAGCCAAACATGCAACAAAACTTCCACACAGAATCATATTTGAATTAAAGATGGGGTGGATGTCCTTCGTCTGGCTGTAAATGTCTCTTGTTCTACCTGCAGAGTGATAACCCACTTGCTAGGAAAAAAGGCTCACTAAGCACAGCCCCAGATTGACCTACATAGTTGACAATGTTAATATTGTCCATGCTATTCAGCAGACCTGATAGGATTTGCAGAAGAAACAGCACAAATTATAGCAAAGCATCAGGGCAAAGGAGAAATATTATACAAATAAGAAATCTTCAAACATGAGAAGATTTTGATCTTCAATCCTGCTCATTCCATTATCTCTGCAAAACCTCTCTCATGAACTAAACTCATCTATTCAATCAAGCACATAAATCATAATAGATTTCTATTCCAATATCCCCATTTGTCTGTCCTGGTTTCTGTCCTGCACAGACATCGTGCCTGGCTGAGTTGATAACCATATGGTCAGAAGGTTGTGGGGACTCTGAGCTTGCTAACATACCAATGCCATCCTGGGGGAATCACAGCAATGTCAGGAATGCCATTCTTTGGATGAGATGTTAAACTGAGATTCCATTTACCTGTTCAGGTGGACATTAAATGGCACTCGGTGAAAAGAGAAAGAAGTTTCTTCTGGTGTCCTAACCCACAATTTTTCAGATAAAAAATGATCATTCACCTCCTTGGCTGTTTGGGGGGTATTGCTGTGTTCAAATTTACTGTGATATTTGCCTACAAATGCACTTCTCAGAAGTTTTACAAAACCCTTTGAGATATTCTCAACATTAGAGGCTCTACATTAAATACATGGATTATTATCATCTCCTTCCAACCGTGCGTATTTTTGCACAAAAAATACAGTCAAATCCATTTTACAGTCTATCATGTGAAGTGCTTTGAGAGGCTCAATGACATGATAAGGTGCTATATCAAATGCAACAATTATTAGTAGTATTATTAACTATAACCTCAACAGAAATATAAATCTTTGTTGCACAAGAATACACATAAAAGATAACTTATTTTAACAAGCACATTTTTTCTTTAAAAACTACTCTGCAGGTTTAGCAGCTGCAAACCCAGCTTTGCCTTTATAACAAGGAAACATAAGTATTACACAAAAATGTCTAGATTCCAGTTTTTAAGGGAAATTAACTTCGTTTATTAGAACAAAAGACAGAGTGTGTCATGAAGAATTTTGCTTACATAGGGTCTACGCTGATTACAATGACAATGTATTTTACTACTTCGCTCTTTCAGAGATGAGTATAAATAGACAAGTTCAATCGACCCTTGTCACTGTCACCAAGTTGATTCAGAGCAAAATGGGAAAGGTAAAACATAGTTTTTTTAAAATAGTTTTTGAACTATTTCTTTATATTCCTGTGCAAAAAATGTTATGTGCATTTATCGCTTTCTCTCCAGATCATCTTTTACGAGGACAGGAACTTCCAGGGACGGCACTATGAGTGCAGCTCTGACTGTGCCGACCTGCAGTCTTACTTCAGCCGCTGTAACTCCATTCGCATTGACAGCGACTTCTGGGTTCTGTACGAGAGACCCAATTACATGGGATACCAGTACGTTCTGAACAGGGGAGAGTATCCTGAGTACCAGCGCTGGATGGGCTACAATGACACCATCAGATCATGTCAGACATACCCATATGTAAGTTGGAATTTGTGGATAATGGTTAGATTTTTATTTTGTTCTTCACCCTTTGTCTCCTCTTCAGCTTCAGCCTTCCAGAGGTGGGTCAACTTTTAGGAACATGGTAGTTTTCTGATAGGAGCAAAGAATAAAACACAATAAAATCATACTGGTGGAATTTGACATGGGCTGCTAACGTTAACAAGGACAATGCTTGCATTTGATATACAAGGATTAGAATTATTATTATCATTAATAATTTTAGTGATCTGAGCAAGTTAAAGCCCAATATGATCATTTATTTTTGCTACATCTTCATTTTGGGAAGTCCAGTTGCCATTCCACAATGTGGTGAAAGCAAAGATGAGCTTTGGTGCCTTAAAAGGGCAACTTCAACAACAACAACTTGCATTTATATAGCATCCTTCACATGGAGTAGAGTCCCAGAGCTAAATTCCTTCAGATATCTGCTGAAAGTTGTGAGGATGATTAGTGTGGGCAGGGTGTCTAGCACAGCAAGCAGGACTAGAGGGAATATCAAGCTTTGTTTTGCAGGACCAGATGAAAATTAAAAATCTAGAAATTAAAGAGAATATGCTAAACCTTCACATTGAACGTTGGCTTAAGACACCTATTTTTCAGCATGTTTCAAACTGATAGCTTGCTATTACAGGACCAGATGAAAAATGAAACCTTAAGCGGGTCTATCGATTTAAGATTCCCCTAATTTCCCCAAAGAGTAGTGGAGAAGTAAAAGAGACTGGCTAGCTGGTTGGGAATAAGAGCAGTTAGTTTTGCATTGATTATCTTCTTCAAAAGACAAATGGATAAGTATCTACGTGGAGATAATATTGGAAGGTGCTGGGTCAGGATCAGACTGGGATGCACAGGTATTCTTCAGGATATAATGATGGGCAGAATATTATTCTTTGTTCCATACATTCTTATTTACTTAACCCTGGAATTCTTGATTTATTCCAGTCACAAGAAGGACCTCAATATAATAATAATAATAATAATAATAATAATAATAATAATAATAATAATAATAATAATAATAATAATAATAATAATAATAATAATAATAATAATAATAATAATCCTTGCATTTGATATAGCGCTTTTCACGTCGGGAGGACGTCCCAAAGCGCTTCACAGAACACACTGTAAAGTGAATTGACTGTATATTTGTGGGCGAACGCGGCAGCCAATTGCGCACAGCAATGTCCCACAAACAGTCGTAGATTGAAAATGACCAATTTAATTATTGTTTTTTTTTTGGAGGGATTATTATTAGGCGTGTGGAGTAAGGAAACTTGCCCAAGGTTTCGCCCTGCCTGGAATTGAACTCAGGTCTCTCACTTGCAAAGCGAGTGCTCTAACCACTGAGCTACAGGACTCAATAACCTATCTGTAAATTCAATTGCACATAGCATGGTGTAAGAGTGGGGGAGTGGAACTAGTTGGTAGATCTTTCAAAGAGCCGGCACAGGCATGATGGGCCGAATGGCCTCCTTCTGTGATATAAGATCCTAATGATGGATTTCCGTGAAGATCAGATACCCGGCTGACAAAATAAAAAAAAGTTCACACTTAAGAATAATGATGAGATCATTTTATACACTTCTGAATTTTTTACTTCAAAAACAATTTTAGAACAAGAGCAGCTCATATAAAATGAGGGTGTACGAGAGACCTGACTTTGGAGGACAGATGATGGAATTCATGGATGACTGCCCATCCGTCTACGATTGTTTCCACTACCATGACATCCACTCCTGCCAAGTGATGGACGGCTACTGGATCTTCTACGAACATCCTCACTACATGGGAAGGCAGTACTTCCTGAGACCAAATGAATACAAACGGTTTGGTGACTGGGGTGCTGGTTATCCAACTATTGGCTCCTTCCGTCGCGTTAGAGATTTCTAAACCTTTTTGTTTAAAAGTTTAATTCACCCGAGCAATTCTATCGATGGATTTTAAACCAAATCAATGTAGTTTTTGTTTGAATTTTAAGTCGTGACATTTTTCCGCTCTGTCAACAGTATTTATAGATCTTCATTTCTGTAACTGAAGAACAACCACGTAAATCTGAGAACAATGTTTCAATAAATTAATCATTAAATTCATTGAATTATTACTCTGTCTGGTTAATTGATAGAAAGAAGAACTTTGAAGAGCAATCTTCTCCTTAACGTTTATCAAATAACACACTTAGACACATCACATCTTTCTGAACACTGTGGTAGAATACTTTCCATTCAGCTCCTGTTAATCTTGCATGCCAACGCCTAATGGGTAGGATGGTCCTAGCTGGACAAGCAGCGGGAAGCTTGCCAGATAGTGCTCTTAACTTGAATTCCAGTAGTAACCCCAAAACACAGTATGGGGTCCCCAAGCCTTAGCTCTCGTCCACCGACATGTGATTATAGAATTAGGTAAACAGGATGTGTCCCTCGATGAGAGAGTGCCATTCCATTTCAGACACAGGAAACTTATATGGGTAGGTGACATACATATGTGAAAGCCTTTATCCGGGTTGGATGATCTTTAGCATGGTGTTGCATTTTGTGTGCACTAATCTACCTGTCAGATGTAGAAAGTAAATGAGAAGTAAACAAAAGACTCTAAGCTTTCACATTGAACATTGGCTTAAGATTCATATTTTCAGGCAATGGGTGGAGAAGATCTTTTTCTGAATATAGCTGGCATTTCAGTCATCTTCCATTCCATTGTCCAGATGAAAGTTGAAATGCTCACTGTTTTGCTATCAATACTAACTGCAGCAGAAGAACTCCTCCAAGCATACAGTTGTCAGAGCCTTCAATGTTCATGTGGGATGGCAGCTTTTCCTCCAAAATCTCAGCACAGAAACACATCAAGAATTTATAATTGACAACAACAACACAACAACATAACACAATTGAGTCTGGCAATTTTTTTTGTCTACGCTTTTAGATATGTGAATTTATGGATATGACATGCAAATTGAACTTTTCAGTTAATAGAACCTGTTCACAAGTGTAATTGCCTTCCAAGCCAACACGTTTGGCTTTTCTACTATAACCTGTGTCCACACTTGTGGCAACATAAAGGCTGTAAATAAACACTGGGGTAAAGCTGCTCAAAGTGTATGAAAAGCACTGAGTAAATTAACGGTTATTTAGTACTAAGCAGTTATTATGTTTTTTTTGCTGATTTTCATTTTTTTGCACCTAAAATGGACTTTGGAATTTTTCGGACACATTAACATATAAAACGATCCAATCAAATTTAGAAGCTTTTTCATGTTTTTTTTGCAGAGCATATAAACTCATATTATTCACACCCAACACTTCTAAACTTTAAAAAGAATGTTTAAACAAGGGTTAAGGGGCAAGTCCATTTATTCCTGATCATTTGATTATTCTCTACAATGCAACAGTTTTAACATTGTGATGTTATGTTGTGCTAGACATATAATATTCCAATAAATCAATGAATCGCATGATATAATAGTCAATTGAAGGAGTTTTATGAGGTTCAAAATATATCAGCTTGATTTGATTTTCAACATGGGTTTAGAAATTCCTCATACGTCTGAAAGATCCAATATTTTACAATGAAATTGAAACAATGAAAGGAATAGCCAATAGCTTTATTCATGTTTAGTGTTATTTCATGAAGGCAAATAAAATTCTTCAAGACCAATTTAGCAGAAATCTCTCATATGTCTGAAAGATCCAACAGTTGAGCTGGAAGTGCCCCAGTCGTTGAATCGTCTCTACTCTCTGGGTCTCATGAAGTACTGGCGGCCTCTGTAGTTGGGCTGCTCATACATGGTCCAGTAGCCGTCCATCACGTTACAGGAGTGGATGCAGCATCCAATTGCGCACAATAGTTTCCCAAACAGTCGTGGATTGAGTGACCAAATTATTATTTTTTTTAAATGTATTTTTGTTTTGAAGGGATTATTACCCCCGGAAAAGCGATCCGCCGATAACAATCGGGTTCCTACTTATTGCTCGGTAAACAAAGGCATGTGGAGCAAGGAAACTTGCCCAACATTTTGCCCTACCGGGAATCAAACCCAGGTCCTGTAGCTCAGTGGTTAGTGCGCTCGCCTTGCAAGCGAGACACCTGGGTTCAATTCCAGGCAGGGAGAAACCTTGGGCAAGTTTCCTTACTCCACACACCCAATAATAATCCCTCCTAAAAAACGAAACAATAATAAATTGATCATTTTCAATCCACGACTGTTTGTAGGACACTGTTGTGCGCAATTGACTGCCGCATTTCTCCCACAAATATACAGTCAATTCACTCTACGGTATATTCTGTGAAGCATTTTGAGATGTCTAAAAGACGTGAAAAGCGCTATATCAAATGCAAGGATTATTATTATTTTTATTATTATTATTGAAAGGCGAGTGTTCTAACCACTAAGCTACAGGACTCCACTGTTAGCAATGATAAGTAGCAATGACCATGGGGAAGGAAGGGAGTTTGTTAACTAAAAGCATGGCAGTAAAGATGTGCTTCGTAGGATGGTTCATGAATTATCAGATCTATGGCAGAAGCGCTTGGGAAATAAAAGAACCTGCCTTTCCCATTCTGATGGTGTTTTGGAGGAAATAAGGTCAGATGTGACAGAACTTGTCCTTTTCATATGCTCACTGGAACCTGCAATGTAGTGAAAAGTCTTTGGTGTGTAATGACAAGCAGTATTCAATTTCAACCATTCTTTAAAACCAATGTGAGTAACAATGTTCAAATTGTCATCCATTCTTGGTGCTGTTTGTTCTTGTTTCAAGTATTTTGGCACAAAAGGACTGCTTACTGCATACATTGCATAATAATCCCTCCAAAAAACAATAATAAATTGGTCATTTTCAATCTACGACTGTTTGTGGGACATTGCTGTGCGCAATTGGCTGCCCCGTTCGCCTACAAATATACAGTCAATTCACTTTACAGTGTGTTCTGTGAAGCGCTTTGGGACGTCCTCCTGACGTGAAAAGCGCTATATCAACTGCAAGGATTATTATTATTATTGGACCCTTCATGCCCCGTGACACATATTTACATGTCGTATGGAATTCATATCAGAAGCCTCCTTTTAGTTTGTCAGTGAGCTGAAATCAAGCTATAACAAATATAACAATATAAATGTATAATTTAAGGCTCGTCATAAAACATACCTCGCATTGAGACAATTTTTTCCTTTAACCCCACCTCCCCCCCCCACTCCAATCCCAGTTCACATCCCCAGCTCTGGTGCCCATCCAGCATTGTCAAGCACTTTACAATTACTACAAAGAAGGTTTATGAGTGGGGCATATTGCTATCATTGTTAATACTAATAATAGTGATAGTACTGGCGTCTGATTGAGCACCTTTCAAGTTGGGAGGGCATCTCAAAACAGGATTTATTGTAAAGTGCAGTGAATGTGTCATTTGTAGGTGAACACAGCAGCTAACGTGTGCACATCAATGTCCACAATATCTTGTAAGTTATTGGCAGGAGCAAATGAAAGAGCATCATAATGGAAACTTTGAATTACAATACATTGTGAGAGTAAGAATCCCCCACTAATCTGACATAGAATTCACTCTCTCTGTCACCCCTCAGAGCTTTGGCTGAGTTGGCAGTTGCTCAGTGTGGAGGATTCCAGAAATCTCTTTGTGGTTGATGTAAGAGTACAAAGGAAAGTAAAAGGAACAATAGGACTTTCACAAACACTTTACTCTGCAAAAAGTGAAGTGCATGCTGGAAGCTATTTCATGCAATTGTTTCACCAATAATGATTTTCCTTGCATTGCAGTTTCCAACACGTGTATAAAAATACCACAACTTCATTAGCTCACTTGAGTTTCTTCGCACACTGCTTGAAAATGGGAAAGGTAGGTTTGAATTATTGGAAGCACACTCAGTCTCAATGGCAGCATTCTGAAGATTATACTTGTTTTACTAGTTTTATAAACACTTTTTCCGCAGGTTACTTTATTTTAATAATGTCTTATTACCAACACAATTCAGACTTGATAAATCATGGTATCATTCATTTTCAGATCATCTTTTACGAGGACAGGAACTTCCAGGGACAGCGCTATGAGTGCAGCGCTGACTGTGAAGACCTTCAACCTTACTTTGGCCGCTGTAACTCCATCCGCGTCGACAGTGACTACTGGGTTCTGTATGAGAAACCCAATTACATGGGATACCAGTATGTTCTGACCAGAGGAGAGTATCCTGACTACCAGCGCTGGATGGGCTTCAATGACAACATCAGATCATGCCGTACCTACTCATATGTAAGTTTCCAGGTTGGGTTCCCAGTCAATCGGAAATCCTCAGAATAAAACTAGCCATATTGCTGAGTATTTAAACTATTATTATTTAGGTTTAGATCCAAACAATTTTACCAGCAATCGGAGCTAAGAAATGTTTTGTTTCTGCACACTTGTCCGAAATGCCTTCTATGAAGGACAGATCTGCAATTCTACTCTCAAACAGGAATATTTTGATGTCCAAGAAGATATTTGTAGACTGAAACTCTGACCACCTTCCAGTACTCCAAGGAATCAACTGTTTTTAGCTTTTTTTTAATCATATGATAATCCTTGCAGTCGGTCTAGCTCGTCACAGTATTTACTGCAAAGTATAGTGACTGCGTTTTGTAGCAAATTAATAATTCAGCATCACATTTGATATTTCCATTTTACAGTCCCATGGTGATTCCTACAGAATGAGGGTGTACGAGAGACCTGACTTTGGAGGACAAATGATGGAATTCATGGATGACTGCCCATCCGTCTATGACCGTTTCCGCTACCGTGACATCCACTCCTGCAACGTGATGGACGGCTACTGGACCATGTATGAGCAGCCCAACTACAGAGGCCGCCAGTACTTCATGAGACCCGGAGAGTACAGGCGATTCAACGAC